GCCCCCCATTAAGAGCAACACGAGGTAGAAGACTCCGCGAGCAGATAGTTCAGTTACTGCAGTCTCTTTTCAGTCTTTTGGTTCTCTTTAGGCTGTTCTTCACTTGGCCTTGGGCTGGTGCCTTTGATGCACCCCACGCACTATGACCATAAACTAGTAAAAGCACGGTTCCCCTGTGCTGTACTGGAAATACACCACACCTCTCGTGCTATATTTCCCGCACAGCATGGGGAACCGTGCTTTAACTAATACGTAAAACTGTAATTTATATGTACATGTACATGCAAAATAATAATGTCAATGAATTATAATGTCATGCATCAAACATGCAGGTCTACAAAAGTAACAGAGTGTAATGTACATATGTACATAACACAAAAACAATCATAATTATTACTGAACCTCTCACCCTCAGTCACCATGCACTCCACTCTTGACAGTTTTCCCTTTAGTCCACAATCCACTGACTCTCAACAGCATACCAGCAAACAATAGCTTCCTTGATATGCACACTCCTTTATCAATCTGTGAGTCAATAAGAGTTAAGAGAATACATGTACAGTATATACCAGTGAATTGGTAAACCTCGACATGTACATGTATATTATAGTCATTATACATGTACATACAATTTAGCCAATAAATATTACACTTGCACACTGTACATGTAGCAACATTTACATGTAAATGCAATAAACATAAATGTACATGTACTCCATGCTGATACTATACATGTACATGTATACTGTACACTGTTTGTTATCAACCGTAGAATATTAAAACTTATTGATTCATTTAGGTTTCGGTATACCAATTTTAAGTTTTAAGTATCACACATGCTTGTACATGCACTGCTAGAGTTCATACTCATAACTCACTTTAAATATGAATTCAACCAAATCAAGTGTCACTGACTTCATCTTTATCCACTCTCCCGATACACACTTCCCTCAATCCACTGAGATTGAAGGCATGAGCTACAGTACCTCTCCACTGATACTAAGAGGACCACCTAAAAATAAAAGGACACTTAATTTGGCACAATTTTTGAGCAACTTTAAAAATTCTTAAAAAACCAAACTTGATCAGAATAAGCTCAAACTTTCTACGCAATATAAAAACATGTATATGCATTAGGAAAAATTATAAAAATAGAGAATTCCCTCTTTGTGATTTTTTGGCTAAATACCCTGTACTAAAGTACTGGGACAAGAGCCTGAGGATGCATGAGGACTACGCCAATATCCTGTGGAAAACCGTCATAAATTGGCAGATTAAATTAAGCAATATTCAGGCACAATGTCTAAACATTGTTTAAATGTAATTCAGGCTCAGCATGCACACGTTACAAAATGAACAAATCAAAAACAAACAAAACTATAACTTGACACACTTCAAAAAATCTTTAAAAAAGGAAAACTAATCTCACCTATAGCCTGTACATCTGCAGGAATCTTACTCACTTCCAGTAAAAGATTTCCATTACAACATGATGAATACAATTAGCCTCTTCAGTAATTTCTATACCATTAGGACTTCTTCTACAATGTATAAACTTGTCACAACATATTATAAACTATGACACGTACCACAAAAATTTCTAGGATGAGTTTTAGCTTTAAAACTTTAGATTCTGAGTAGTATTTGCTGGACAGAAAATTCGCCATTTTTTCTGCACTTTACACCACGCCTTCATAACACCATAAAATTAACTCTTTGTTTACTCAATTTAACTTTAGCTTTTTGGGGAGTACGAGAGTAGGTTTTTTCCTACTCTTTTCTGCTCCTTTCTTCCTCCTGTCGTAAGGAATAGTAGCTCCAAGAGTGATACGTTTTATCCAGCCAGACATGGAAGCTTTAGCCAGGCTCAACCAAACCTCTGCAATCCTTTCGTGGAGGACTCCTACCTCAGACACTACGGCACTACCAGGCTCTCCTGTAAACTACCAAACGAGGTAACTCTAATTTTATTTCATGATTTTACCTTGCCAAGGAATATATACATGAATGTGTAAGGAGGATATACCATTGTTGAAGGGTTGCCTGCAAGGGGACCCAATAGAAGGTCTTGTTGCCATTGGGTATGATAGACTAAAGCACTCATAATGGAGGTTGATAATGGCATACTAAATAGCTAGTAATCTATTGCAAGTTCAGGTTGTGAAAGCTATTGGCCAAATAAAGCCAGCCATTTTGGACCATTATGTGTATGGCGGTATGCTCAAATTAAAACCCACCAATCACTAAAAACTTAGCACCCCTCTACAATTACCAGCCATACGGTATTATGATTGAAGTACTGAGGCACTGTTATTAATGTTAATTTGTAGGTGACTCCACCAGTTGAGGCAGTTATTCTTGTTCTCTCCTTCATCTGGTCTCTACTCTTGTCCTCTTCCTATGACTGATGGAGGAGCTAGACTAATTGAAGTGAGCAGACATTA